GAAATCTTCATACTCATCGCCCTGATGACGGAGGCAGTATGACCTCTGAAACGTTGGTAAACATCGACCAGACTACACAGCGCAACAACCCAGAAGACAGATATCTTCATACTCATCGCCCTGATGACGGAGGCAGTATGACCTCTGAAACGTTGGTAAACATCGACCAGACTACACAGCGCAACAACCCAGAAGACAGATATCTTCATACTCATCGCCCTGATGACGGAGGCAGTATGACCTCTGAAACGTTGGTAAACATCGACCAGACTACACAGCGCAACAACCCAGAAGACAGATATCTTCATACTCATCGCCCTGATGACGGAGGCAGTATGACCTCAGAAACGTCAGTTAACATCGACCAGACTACACAGCGCAACAACCCAGAAGACAGAAATCTTCATACTCATCGCTGTGAAAACCTCAAATCTTACATTATATGTGTTAGTATTGGGAAGGATTTAAAAGGACAGCCATAACCTAAATAGATGTATTTGATTTTTCTCCTTGCTTTCCTTCTTTATTAAAGTGTCCATATTTTTATAAGCCACTGAAATATGCATAGCAACAAAAACATTTTCATGATTTATGAACATTGTAGTCATTTATGTAAGTGCATTATTAGGTATGTATATTTTATACTTTTAAAATTAAGAGGGAATTAACGAAAGAAAATGCACAGAATTTATTAATATCAATGTATTTAACAAGAGGAAATATGTCTCAGCTCCTTAAGATGGCAATGCTGTCTTATATCTTTCCCAAAGTGTGACACAGTATACCACTGTAATCTATCATGTATTTTGGCTCCCTATAGTCAATGCATCTTGCGACATGAACTACGAGTCAAACCATGTGTGTTTCACTTAGTGTTTAGAATATCAGCTCTGCCATTTAAACATGGTCACACCATCCATACAAAGCCCTTACACTTCCAATGAAAGTTTCATTAAAGAAGTTTGAATAATAAAATGATGGCTGTCTTCTGGGTTACATTCATTAGATGTTCATGGTGTCACAAATTTTTGTGTCTTCACTGCAGCTACGATGAGTACCACCCATAATCCTGGGACTTGTGAGACTTGATGGTAGACTGTTGAAAATTTTGATCCCTGCATAATATGCACTCTTCTGAAAGCTTGAGAGGTTGGCAAATTCTTATTCTATGTGTTGACACTGTGCATAACATAATTAATTTGAAACTGCTCTTGGTTATTTACAATAAAGTACATGAACAAAAATATGTATTCACGTGGAAGAGCTAAGATCTCCAACCCTTTAAAGAGACTTTAGATGAATTTACAGGTTTGACATCAGCCATGAATATAACAATTGGTCTTTTGTAAAGTGAATATCTTTTTGCTGTTTGATGAATTTCCCCCTAAAATTATTCCATACTTCATGACAGCGTAAAAATAGGCAAAATATTCTGATCTGAGTGTGTCAGTTTTGCTGGCATGAAACGTAAATCTAACTGCATATTTCTCCGCTTAACTTAGGTATCAGGTTATCAATGTAATTTGTCAAATTCAAGTGAATATCAATTTGTAAATCCAGGAACTTCATATTTATAGACTCTTTCTTGCATGTATTTTCCAATATAACCAATACTTAAATATATACTTTGGTGAGTTATCAGTTATAAATGTTATAACATTTGTTTCACATAGATTTAGGGCCAGCATATTAGCAGCAAACCATTTATTATGAGAGAGGAATATGTTTGATGTTGCACAAAAGTCTTTAAAATCTTTACTAGAAATGATGACACTTGTGTCATCAGCAAACATTTACAGTATTTATTATTGGTGGAAGGTCATTTATGTTTATTACGAAAAGCAAGGGCCTTAGAATTTCCTATTGGGGAACTCCATGTTTACTGTTCCCCAGTTTGAGAAAAAATTCTGACTGTATTTAGGTTATTTTATTTTATTTGTTTTTTATCTGTTAGAGAGGATCTGAACCATTTTGAAGCTATTCCTTGAATGCCATAAAAATGTAAATGCCTCGAGAATTTAAGCATAGGTCATGTGTTGTGTGGTCATCTCTCACAAAAGAAGTTGCGTCATTGACAACAATGTGAGCCATATTATGCCGCATCAGAGTCTGATCGAGCCAAAGATTCAGTCTCCTAACCCCCCTGTTCATCCATGGCTTGAAGATGTTGACATTTGTGTTGGTTGTCCTCTTGGGAGAAGCTGACATTCTTTTCTACAGAGTAATAGCAATTTCTATCCAGGCTGTTACCTGGCCCTCACTCCCTCTATAACAACATGATCTTGCTTGGTAAGGCCTTTACCAAGCTTTCCCAGGTCCTCAACGACATTTGCAGGATGTAAATTTGGCTTACAACATTTTTCCACGCCATAATGTCTGCTTTAGGATGTAGAGGGGTTGGTTTTGGGAGTCTATAAGTGATATGGTTGAACAATATCTTTTCTCTGGGATGCTACAGGTGCTGGGTCCTTTTTAAATATTAAATTGAATATTATGCTGTATCTTGCGTAAGTTAGGTAAGTGACAGGTAACACATTTTGATCCTACGAAGAATGGCTTAAAGATATAAGAGAATGGCAAAGACACTAAAACAAAAGCCTGAGTTAAATGAAAATTAACACTTTTGGATCTTATGTAAAATTGCTTAAAAATATATGAAAATGGTACTGGCAGTAAAACAAAAACTCAAATTAATTGAGAAAGCTGAAAACTAAGAATCAGCAACAAAGTTAAACAAATATTATGAGACGGATACCGAGTGATTACATCCGTGAAACAATGCTACTTGGCTGACATTCTCAGAACTCTCGCCAATGAAGATGACAACATAATACAAATACAGAATAAAATTATGTATTTGATTCTACATGTGGCATTTCTTGTGCGTGGTCCTTCATGAGTCCAGTAACAATGGTTTGATCATGGAGAAACTTGTTCGATATCTAGAAGAAGATGATTTTCAGAGTTTTCCTAATGAACAAATCTGGAAGTCCAGATTTCTTGACACAGTGTGTCCTATAAGAAGTTTTGAAAACGCTGATGAAGGTAACGATTAATAATGGCTACAAAGTGAAGCATGTGAACTGGGCTTCCAGCACATATCAGACACAGACATTGTCAATGCTGCCACAGAATAAAAGGGATAAGAGGAAAATGTAGTATGTACACCAGTCACAACATGGCAATACCATGTGTTGACAAGTTACTAGACTAAATAGGTCAGAGAGGGTTTGAGTACAGTGACATTACAGCCACCAGGAAAATTTATACTGCCATGAGGAGGAGTCCTAATGGTTCATAGAAACACATGACCATTACAAAGTGTTTCCCAAAATGAACATCAGTTGTGTAAGAATAAAATTAATTTGTGAAGTTTCTTGAATACACCAAACAAAATATTTCAGATTATCCACGTTTTTTTAACTATTCATGTATTTTATCCTTTTCATTATCCTGGATAATCATGACTTTACTGTATTATTTGTTGAACACAGTGTTAATTTCTTGCTTTCAAATTCTGAAGCTGTTTGTTTTTATAGGAACTTTAGTAAAGTACTGCATTTATGCTGTTCACCTATTTAAATGTTCCCAGCATGCACATTAAGAATCCTATTAATGTTAATTGAATAAAAATTTACTTGGATATTATCCATCGTCTAGTAATAAAACGTAAAACGACGTTTCGGAGATGGGGCTCTATCTCCGTCTTCAGGTTCCTACTCAGTTGGGCCCACTAGATACAGCTAATCCCTATCTCCGGACAAATTAAAAAGTGAAAGTCCCAGAATAAAAAGGCATAACCACACCATCCATCCGTGGGACGTAAAAGAATAGTACGTAAAATCAAAATTACCTGAAGACGGAGATAGAGCCCCATCTCCGAAACGTCGTTTTACGTTTTATTACTAGACGATGGATAATATCCAAGTAAATTTTTATTCAATTGACTCTTCACCATCGTCAAGAAGTTTTAGATTTTATATACCTATTAATGTTATTCAACACCAAAGCCCTAGAAGGGGCTAGTTTTGAACAGCCCTCAACCAGTCCCATTATTACTGGCTTTTCATTGTCAGGACACCGCAGCTACAATTATCCATTCCAGCACCAAGTATACATATCTCAGTCTCCGAAAATAAAGTGGGATTAGCTCCAGCAACCAATGAGAATGCACTGCCCCTGTTTAAAACATTTAAGCAAAGTAAAAGTAAAGCTGTTCCGCCACACGCCATGTAGGTCGTTTGGGGGGGGGAGAGGAGGTACAGCTCCTACTCATTCTTGACCTCGGCACTAGCTAGCTGGGGGGGTGAGCGGTCAGCATAACGCCCCAGCCGCCCTTTACCCCCGGCAAAGGACCCCAGTACCCATTGGATAGGAGACTGGGTGAGCCCCAGAGCTGGTCTGGACGCAGAGGCTACAGGAAAAATCCTCTGCCCCTATCGAGGATAGAACCCGTAGCTAGTCACTATACTGACTCAGCTATCCCGACTCATGTTCAAAACATTTACAACAGTTAATAATCAATTAAGTTCAGGCATCCTTGTGCTCATACATCAGCCACTATCATAATCACTCCATCTGGCATGGAAGACGTGTACTACCGTGATTTTGGTTGTACTAATGCCAAGATTTCTGGCCTGAATTTAACCTCTCATTTAAATGACTCTCCATATACACAGAAATATGCCAATGGGGCTTTCACTACATATCCTGTGTAATAAAATGTTCTCACAATGTCCATGGGTCAGCATCAGAAGAGATGTAAATATCTCATGCATCAAAAGACCTGAATAGGTCAAATCATTGTTCAATATTAATAACTAGCCCAGTTGAATAGGCTAAATCTCATAAAATTTTATGTAATCAAATTATGTCTTTTTGTGGAAAAAAACACATTGAAAATTGCATAGAACAGATATACTTGTATGTCCTGTATCACAAACCAGTCATGACTTAAGTCACTCACGTGTAAGAGCAGTACTCCAGCTACAAAGCTCAGTCCCTGGCAGTACCCAACCTCAGGATCCAGTAGCGAGTACGCCTTCAGCAGGTTGAAGAGAGCTAGTTGTCCAGGTCCCAGTGGAGATGAGAAGTACGTGTGGTTGGGAAAAGTACGACCTGCACAGCATTACATGACATAATTACATAATTCTATGTAAAACCATAACAACTCAGTAATTGAAATAACAGGTTATATCTAGATTTTGGTTCCTAATAGGGGCACAATGAACAAATTCAGGAGAATAAGGGGTAGGGCGTGTTTCATAAAGCATCTCCTACTATAATGCAAACCTCATCTCTACATGGTGCACCTCAGTCAAAAATTATGCTGCAGTGACAAAGTCATTGAAGCATAAGAATTATATCTAGTGCATAGGAAACTCAACTACCATACTTTAGGTCCAGTTAGGGCTACCGCACACGTAAGGCAAACAGTCAGACGACTGTTTCATCGTTCGCACAAAGCCCTTAAGAACATATAGAGATGCGCACACTGTTACGACACGACTGGCAGTCGGTTACCTCTACCGACAACCCCGGACTTTTCTGTCTACCAACTGTCGTTGGCCCTTCGAATTATATGAAAGCGCGCAGACGAACGACTTTTCAGTCGTTCTGCCTTTCATTTCGTGAGAGCATTTGCAGACAGTAGACGATTGTCAAACATGGATTTTGTTGAAACTGCTATAGTACGTGCACTTGTGATACGCCTCAATAAAAGGAGGAAAAGGAATTACTGGGTGCATCCATTACACAGTGAGAGACTGTTCAAAGGAAAATTCCATACTATGTATGAAACATTACGGAATTATCCTGCAAAATTCTTTTCATATTTTCGCATGAGTATACAAAGTTTTGATGAACTTCTATTATTGCTGAGACCGAGTATAACCTATCAAG